CCAATTTCCGAGGCAGTTGTGCATGCATAGGTTATGATTTCATGGCTTGTAGCGTTATGCGCCCTTTACCGGTGAGTAAAAGTTGTGCAACGAGCCCATCGTCCTACCTATCTATGAGAGTTTCGGCATGCCGAACAAATCCGGCGACGTTGGATGACCAAGCAGCTGCATTCGAGACCACGATGCTGGATGATGATCTATCTTGGTTCTTGCTGGATCGTGCAATTTCCCATATCTGACATCGCAGTTTGTCACACGTTGATAGGTAAAACAGGCGTCCAAGGTTGCCAAGAGAAGGGGTAGGAGCGGTAGGAGCTGAGTGCGATTGAAACACATAGCTGAACGCTCACATCCGTGTCGTGCAGCGCTTTACAAAAGCAACATGATCGCGATTTCCGAAAGACAGTACGTGGAGTGGAAAATGTATGAGAGTTGGACTGTTTAATAAATTACTACTTCAGGAGGTATTACATGTTGGACAATGTGTACTGCAGCGGGCTGGCTGCGAGTGAGATCGTGGCGTTTATTGCGCAATTCCAATCATGGGTTTGTAGGAGGAAGCGTGTGCTCGTTTTTTCCGGCTCGCGACAAAGTGCTGGTGGCAACATTGGCGTTGCTTGGAGTATGTGATGCATTCGGGGTATGAATACATTGTGGTAGCACCATAGTGCCAGTTTCGTCAAATCCGGCCGGTGTGCTGTCTAGCGTTTGTTGCCTAGCGATATCGAATGACGATCGGATCGAATGGCGGCACCATCTGAGGGTCAAGGCCGTGAAGCGAAGATCTTTGGCAAGTGTGCTGGAAGTAGAGATAGTGTGGGCTCATGCCGAAACGGAGCCTTCTGCAACTCAGACACTACGTGAAGAGCGACCATCTCTTATACCAACGTTAATTTTATAATCTTCTTCGTCGTCCGAGTCCATCGAATGGTCGACAGGAAAACTTCTTAACCCATCCTCTAGCATCCGGAATGTTTCTGAGTAGGCCTTGGAAGGAACGGCGTCCGGTTGGATGAGGAGCGAAGCAACGTCCATCTTCATCGGTCTGGGATAAGGAAGGTCGTTGGGATCTTTGACGAACCAACTGCGGTCTTGTGTAGTGTCGTGCTTCCGTACATGATGCGTGGCGAGATCCGAAAATCTTTCGTCTAGGATCTTGCGTAGCACACGCTCGACTTGCTCGTCCGTGGGCCCTTGTATGTTCTGTCTCTGCTCCAGGACCAGGATACGTTCGTGCATCTTCCGAAAACACAACTCTGTTCTACGCATGAACTCGTGGCTACTACTGATAAGCCTCAATGCTTGAATAGGATGCGGAAGGCGCTATGCTTACTACCATGCTGCAATCTGGTCGAAAGACTGATTGATCTTCTGCACCTGGAAGGTGAACGACATGTTTGAACTTGATCAGAATCGAAAAGTAAGGAGTAAATTGAGAGACGGAGTTGTGGACGCCTCGCGAAAGTTGGCATTTAAGTGTAAGGACTTGAGACTGGAGAGGCATGTACATTGAAAGAACCAAATGTGTACGGCAAGGAAGCGAACTCTGATATACATGTATGACCCTTGCAGGCGTGAATCACAGGGATACGTTTCAGGTGGGACCAACACGCCGCTTCTGATATGCAGTCAGGTGGGTAGCGCGGCAGGGTCCTCGGATGGCGGGAGACTTTGATGGGCCGGTCGGCCAGTGGGGGATGTAAGGTGGACGCCCAATCAGGGCCACGCAAGTATGCGGCTGTCTAAGTCTCCCGAATGGGGTGTTTTGGGGTCAGATACATATACCTAGGTACTTGTCGGATTACAAGCAAGACGCTGACCGAAAAAGAGACCGCGGAGAACATTGTTCAGTAGGACGTTGGAAGTTTTCAATGCGAAGGAAAACTTCAAAGTAACTCGGTATGGAAGAAACAGTCACTGCCTCTACGGCATACACAGTCGAGATGGCAGGGGCGTGCCATGGACACCGCCCTCGTCGCTATGATCGACAATGCTAGCGACAAAGGTACGAGACCAGCGTTGAGTGGCTCGCCTGTCCGGGCGTGCAAGGTTTTTGGATATTGTTGTCGACCCAATCGATCACAGGTTGCGGCCACTTACCGCAAAGCAAAGGCGAGCTCGCGGGAACGGGTTTCTTTCCCAGCGGCGGTGCATGCAATGCAAGCCATCGAGTCAATCCGGTTATTGCCGTGCCCCTAGGCCAAGGCTCTCGTATCCGGTTTTCTTTTCTACCACAGCTTTCTCGTCGTTCTGCCTGCATAGCACCTGCCGATTGGTATCTTCAGCAGAAGCTGCCGATCGAGCTGCGTCATCCGATGTTTGTAGATGCCAGCAAGGCTGTCAAATTGTGTTTGCTGGTGCCAGCTGGTATGCACGTGGGTGGTGATGCCGCTAGACTCAAAGCCGCTAGACCCGCTCTTGGGTATTAGGTAGCGGGCCTCAGGAACGACTTTCGATTCCAGGGCCACTCTCGTCATCGGTCAACATTCTGCAAGCGAAGCGACCGGGCACGTCAATCCCGATAAACACCAGTTCCCCCTAGAACACTGCCGATTCCTAGCTCGGAAAGCTCAGTGTCAGTATTGTCAGGTGAGGTTAGAGCTGCGTACAGCGCAGAGCCAGCGCATCGCATCTGGCCTCTGACAAACAATCGGCGATGGCATTTATCATTTGGTACACGCGCTGCGCCGCCTCGTTACCTTTATTGACAACGTTTCTGCCTAGTCAGTTGCTAAAGCAGGGTTATACCATGGCGAGCCACTCAAAATGACCTCGGGATGTACTGAACCTCTGAAGTGCCGACAAGGCATCTTCCTGAAATTTTCATTTCATCGATCCAACAGCTGTCTCTCGGATTTGTTAATGCGCGCCAGAGAAAAACGCCAAACTTCGTTCATACCTGAACATGGCTACTGTAACAGTATCTGGAAGTAGTTGTGGCCCTGGATGATCGCTGTCGGAAAGTTGGCCCCATGTATCCGTTGCAGAATGTCAGCACACTTTTGTGTGTATGCATTTCCTTCATGCATCTGAGCACAACGTATACACACAAACGACGATCCGCTAACAATTGAAAACGCTGGAGGGTAAGCTGCGCTCGTTGCAGCCTGCATGGATGCATATTGAGGCCTGATCCATCGCTGACCCAAAGATTACGCGCACACTCACTGAGGCTTTACGATCCTGTTTAGAGCCATCGCACTTCGACTTCGACATCTTTATTGTCCGCAGGACTTTGTTGATGTGGCCTTCTCTCGCTTACGATAACTGGAAATGGATCGACATGGTCGAGGTGTCGACGGACTAGCCCACCAGGACACCTCAGCCACTTCTACAGGGCTCCCATCCGTGCGCGTCGATCGCCCGTCACGCCGTTCAATACCCCAGTGCATCCTTCGGAAATATAACGGTCTGCCTTCGCATACGGTAGCGTGGCACCGCTGATGACCCTCGAGCATCATCGGATTACATGGCGCCACTGCTGAGCTCATAAGTCGAACGATTCTCAAACTGACAGGGCTTAAAACTCCCGAATGCAGGTATCTTAGCGCTTTGTGACCCGCTGCTTGACATCGGTAGTTGGGTTTAATCCCAGTCCACGGATCCTGTCACTTGCCTTGAGCTAATGCAGCCTCCCGAGCACTTTGCTTGGAGTATAGGATGCACTGAGCTTTCAAAACGGCACTCGAGTTCGGTATTAACGTCAGTATTTGATGGCTTCTTCATTCACGGATAAGCAGACCTTGGAAAGAGTGTAGGTACGTGTGCTTGAGTCGCATAATTTCTCAGCATTAAAAAACCCGAGTTGCATAACGATACCAGATGCCTTCTTTTCCTACGCCCTCGAGATTGAGGATTTCTTGATCCAGACCATATGCATGCTTTACCAGTTCTGGACAAGATAATCACATCGACGATGAGATACGGACGCTTCAGACAGTCCACCGCTTCCGCCAGAACTAGAACATGACCCTTTTGTCATCTCAATTGATCACATTATATGCATACATCAGATGGTTGGTTTTGTCATCAACGCAGCAGAAGTTTCAGCAAGTACTGCGACCCGGGTCTCGAGCCGAATTTCCTACTCCAGAAATGATCTCATTTCCCGGGTTGTCATTGCCCTGGCTTAGCGAAAAGCAGGGCGAACGACTACGCCGTACCAAGAGCCGGGTCGCTTGACACATACAGCAAGCGCTGGAATACCGCGGCAAGCCCGCGATGCGCTTAATCCGCTTATACCAGCTATTTAGCTGTCTTTGTCGCTTTCGAAGGATTCGGAACGACCGCCGGTGCTATGTTTCCGGCACCTGATGCTGTTCTCGCATGGTCTTTGTTGTCGCGATCCCTAGATCCTGCACCTTAAGCGGGAGCGGATATAGACGTTCCCACATCGACTCCACCCCAGCGAGGGCCTTCGTGGTGGGTCCAGAGCCCTCAAAGCTTTGCCAACACTGCGTGCTGCGTTGATCCGGTGACTGACTCGTGGGAATTGGCTAACGGATACCTGCCCTATCGAGACTTTGAATTGCCAGATAAAGATACTTCAACCGTATACACGGAAAGGACATACGACTACAAGCTGCACAGCTATCGGTGAAGCCGACCGCCCCATCCTTGTTCGTGCGATAATACGGTGAATACTGCGTCCATCGCGTCGGAACCTAGCCTGGCGAGTCGTATTTAATGATGTTTTGCCGACACGAAGGATTGTAAGAATGACCTTTCCAGGCATTGCCCCACAAGCCTTCTCGGATGATTAATAAGGAGTTTCGTTCGATTCCTACGAAAAGCATCTCGGCCTAAAGGAAACCGAGGTATAGTAAAACGTTTTTGATCTAAGATGCATATGTCGGTAATACGCGATGATAAAGAAAAGAAGTGGTGCAAGTAAGAATGTGTAAGAAGACCAATCTTACGATGTTATGACGACACGTCATCCACACAACTATCGATAGACCATGGCACTATGGCCGAATCAGGCCGTTGTGCCCGAGAGCCTACTTGAACAGCTCTATCGCATCCAAAATCACGTTCGGGGCCAGGAATCCTTCTCCCGAACTCCCACTCGCACAGTTGATCTTGATAGTATTGCTCCCGCTGACCAACGTGCCAGCTGGTATGGCATAATTGTAGACTTCACCAAACCCTCGGTAGGCGCCACGAGTCAAGCCACGCGAATCGATCTTCGTTGGCGCCGCAGGGACGGCAGCATTAAAGCTGTTGACTGTCACCGAGGGACGGCAGCCGGCGAAAGAGAGCGTAGTACCGATGCGAAGGGTCGCTGCTGCAGTCGAGGTGCTCGAGAACTTGATCGTAAGGGGATTGGTGTCCTTGACTATGGCCATGGGAACACTGTCAAGAGTGCTGGAACCAACTGTATACGTCAAGGGCCCCCAGGATGCCATGCGCGAGTCTGTGGGGTGCATGCGCAGTTGCTTGTCTGCGTTTCGGAAGCCCTTTGGCTGACCATCCCACTCGCCAATGCGCCAAATGGAGGTCTTGGTTTCGGTGTCGGCGGCAATGTTGGCGGTAGTTGCTTCTCCAGCCGAGACTGTGACGCTAGCTGCCTTGACCTTGAATTCACCTTGATATAAGACCTGCGCGTAGTTTCCGGGCTTCATTGCTGGCGAAGTGAACTTGCCACTACTATCGGCGTACGCCCAGTACTGGGCTGCATCGTTGTACCAATGCAATACCCGTTGGAAACTGGAGCCTACGCCTGTCGCCGTGCCGGTGACTGTTCCCCTAGCGGATGGAGCCACGTAGCCCGTTATACCAAGGTCCTTGAAGAACGTCGTATCCATATTGGAGCCACCTTCTGGTACACCAGAGCGACTGAACGCTAGAGCGTAAGGGCCGTGCAGGCCCTGACGGAACTGCTCTGTTTGAACATGACCACTGTTCATGTAGAAGGTCAATGATGTGTATTCCCCTCCGTTATTAGTGTTGATATCGCGGTGGAAGGGGCCACCAGAGGAGCCTTCGTAAGAATAAGAGTTCATGAGGAAGCAGGCGTGGACTGCGTCGGCACCGTCTCGGTAGACGCAGTGCTTTATTGTGTCAGTGAAAGCCCATTGAAGCATGCTGACTGTGGTACCCACCGTATTGTCGTCGATGAAGCGCTCACTTGAGTAGAATTTACTCCTCGTCTGACCAGCGACCACGAAGACGTCTGACCCCTCAACAGTCGACGTCGAACCAACGGTTGTCGATACCACGCCGAATGGGTACTCAAGTGGCAGAGCACTACTCTTGAGACGCGCGATGTATCGCAGTTCGCCAATGCTAGGCTCGGCAGTGGTGTATGTCGCCATATAAATCGTCGCTTCGCCAGCCTTAGCAACAAGGTAATGCGTCAAGGTACTGGTCGTGCAAGTAACCTTGACATATTGACCTGTCGGACTCCGTTAGATTCTGTCGTCGAAGGATTGAGGATACGACGAACTGCTTATCGTCTCATACTTGACAGTTGCACTACCCAGTCCAGAAGAAATATGCGATCCCTTGGAGGACGACTGTAACTCCTCTCCACGATATTTGATCGATGTAATGTCGCAGCTCTTCGCGTTGACGGTAAAAACAAGGGCGTTCGTCGAGCCAGCGTCCACAACAATGTTGTCACCGCTTTTAGTAACGCCGAATGCCGCCAGGACCGAGGATGAACAGGTGGCCGCAGCCAACAATGCGCGCTTCAGCAACATGTCAAGAAACGTAGCTGACGAGAAGATAAAAGAGGTGAAACCGAGGTGACCTATTCAGCTTCGATATTGAACGACGACTCTGTCCCTTACCTATAGGCTATTCTTCCATACCAGCAGCAGGAGCTTACTACATTGCGCAAACCCTCTCGGCGCCAAATGCACCGAGACATTGACAATTTCCACCCAGGACTTCCACTAGCCAGATGCTTTCCACGACTGTTACCCAGGCGCAGCCACATTTACAGTCATCTGACATCTTGCTTCACTAAGCTACGAAGTCGGGAGGGCGGGAGAGATGCTGTTTACAGGTAGTATTCGAGCTTAGGTACATGTACCTCGGTATGGAAATGTTCGTTCATCCGGATCGACCATGTTGTGCGGTGGTGTTGATCTAAGAGCTAAAAGTGCCGTGAGGGGGGAGTCCGGGGTAAAATGCGCCTTTAGTGGCGGAAGATCTTGGCCTGCGAGACAAGCACTATGGAACAACTTGGCGAAGCTGCAAGAAGTAACCCTGCTAGCCACATAGTGAGAAACGTCAGAAATACCGGCTAGAAGCGAGGAAAAAGGTTTCATGTTAAAATGGACATGTTGTAAGAGAAGGGTGTCGCGGCAAATTGCCCGCGAATTGGAAGGGCTAAGACTCTACTGGATAAGGTTTGCAGAGAGCCTAGCCTCCACAAGAGACGAGGTACTCGGAAATAACAGAAAAGAAGGAAGAAGTATTACTAACTGCGATTCTGTCTGTCGAAAGCAGTCATATGATCCGGCCGATCCACCATCGCTCAATCATCACCGCCTGAGCACTCATTCCTATACAACGGGTCAACTTCCACTTGTCGGGACCAGAGCGCCCAGGGTCTGGTCAAAGTGCCTGAAAGTGACTCCCAGGCATCATGGCATTCCCTGTCACTCAGATACTTTAGATTGCCGCCCTCAACCTTCGCATGTCCCGACTTGATTTTGCCACCGGCTTCGACGTCGACCTTGCCCTCGAGTGCATAGCCCGTGTGCGCATTCAGGACCGTCATAGCGGTAGTCTGCGCCTTGGCTGCTTCCTTCGTATATATTGCTTGGTAGACAGCTTCCTCGATGCCGTGCGCGACGGTTGTGAAGCCATGGCCTTGTAGCAGGACGACAGCGTGATCGGGTTCCATCTTTGGCTCTGCAGATGAACCACCGAGCTGCGAGGGTAGAGCGGAGCGTACTTTGGAGTAGATGAAGCCGGTCGAAGTGGCTGGTTTGAACGCAGCTGCAAGAGAGGCGCCGAGCGTGCTGTCGCGAACGAGCAGGTCGTGTTTCGAACCGGAGGGGTAGCTGCTCGAGGCATCCCAGACTGGCACATTGGTACCTGCAGTGATATTGTCAGCAAGAAGCTAGGCATGATGGTCCAGGATACATGCCCAAGAAGCCAGCCATGTGAATTGTGTTCTTTAGAGGCACACCGCTAACGCAGTACGGCAGAACATCGCCAGCATGGCTATGCACCACACTGTTGATGGCCGGAAACCTCTTGTAAATCTCGCTGTGGATGTGTCGCTCTAGATAACCTGGTTTCGCGTCCTTCTCGACCGCTTCGGCGCCATCGACGTTGTATTCGACCAGATCGTCCTGCGAGCTGACCAACGCTGGCGGCATATTGCAGGGCATCCAGAACGTCGCGGGATTGTCGGGCGACCGGACAGAGATATGGCCATAAGCATCGAAGATGCCTAAAGCGATGGAAGCGCGAAGTCAGTGTGTGTTTCACGTGCACTCCGGACACCAGAACTTACCATTGTGGTCGAGGATGTGACAGGCGGTGACTAGGCCTTTGAAAAGGTCCTCAAGACCGACCTTCTCCCGCTTTGGAAAGTATCCGGCAGACATATCGCAAAGATGTAGATAGTGTGTACGGCATCGTGGAGGGCGGAACGCATGTGTTGTGTAGTGGTACTGTTCTTGCTTCAAGCGCTCGATGACGTGCGGGCGCGCGTGTGGGGAAACGACTGGCGTTTCTTGGCAACGACCAGCCTCCGACCGTCCAGCCACACTCAGCATTCACAACATTGGTTATTCATCGCGCCTTAGCTACTAATATCGAGATTCGCTACCATAGATCGGATGAGATGCTCGAGGCTTGGAATTGGAAGGTCGAAACGGTCGTTGATCGATGTGCGCCAGGTCGCCGCCACCACATATCCCATGCCCGAGCTGACATAGGCTCGTCCAAAGAGTGCTTGATACGACTCTTCGTCCAAATAAGGAGATATACCAGAGGGTAACGATGTCTACCTTCTGCACTCCGAGCCGAGAAAGAAGAACCATAGCTGCCAATACTCACGATGTCACTTGCCTGAAAGGATGGATCGAGGTGCACTTTCTCTACAACAGACTAGCTTACCCTTACTCACGTCCTTCGTGAAGGCCGCCATATACTCATGAGCCGCTTCCCTATGACATGCGCATCATATCTTTCCGTATTCATCCTACCTGGTTTCGCAACTTCTGCACTTCCTGCTGCTAACACGATCAACATTATCAACCCGACCTTTATCAATACCCTTCGCTCGCAAACCAGCGGTTATCAACCCTTCCAAGACCTACGACCAACATGCGCGTCATCGTAGCGTTTCCGGGGTTTCGATTCTGGTTATACAAGTTGGAAGGCAAGCTCATCTGCACGCATTACATGCCGGACCAGCCACCACGACAATACACGATATCCAAAGTTGAGAACGATCAAGTAGAAGAGATGGAAGAAGGGGAGAACCCACAGGACATAGTAGACCTTGGAGGAAAGCGGACGGTATTATCGACAAGCTTCGGGGAAGAGCTATCCATCGTTCTGATGAACCTCTGTGGAACGCTGGACATGGAGTATCATAACGACGAGCGGGGTTTCCAAGAAGTCATATTCAAAGGGGTTGGCCCTTGGCCGTCCGCAAATGGCATAACGCAACCAGACATTCAACACGCTCAACCTACGAACACGCCTGTTGTCGACAACGAGATGCTCTAACTTCAAATTCTCATGCTCCACCGGAAGTTCCCAAACACGCACAAAAGACACTGTCAGACGCACAACGGGCCTCAGCCAAGATACAAGTCGCTCCGCCAGATGAACAGCAGGACCTGCTAGATACAGAAAAAACGCCGACGAACACGCCCTTAACCCCGCCAGACATAATCGAGTCCGTATCAGGCTCACAAAAGCCTTTGCTGGACACAGACGCATTTTACGCGCCTTGGATCTATTACTTGGAAAAGAACTTCTCGTAACCGACGTCTCGAAGACAAACACGGCCACTGAGAGCTGTCCCAGGCTCTGACTCAGTCGGTCGTAGCGCAAGCATCAGAAGCTTGCGGATAATTCGACCTGGTCAAGTAAGCACCTACATTCGCGATACTCAGGGGGCGCGAATGGAGGCCATTCTTGTCAATTGCGATTGATAGTGGAGACTACAATACATTAATTGTCTGCATGCTCGTCCAGCCGACCGAATGCCGGATCGCCCTCCCCTCCTACGAATTGATGCCCAGTTCGTTCGTTTTGTGTTCTGCTAATGTGTCTATGCAATATGCAAACGCCGTGTTTCACCACGAGCGGGCAAGATAGATAGTTCGATGTGCCGGAGGTGTTCGTCCAAAGATTGGGGGCTGCTCTTTCGTCCATTTCCTTTTTTCCAAACCGGAACCCAAGGGAGTTCTCAGCCCGCGTCCTACGAATGTCTTGAATATCCATACCTCGAACGCCTGTTACGGTCGTTGTAGTACCCCGGCGGTATTGTATTTCCTTAGCTTCCTGAGCCGTTCTTGACTCTAATTCCACACCTCCGTATGTGTTGACAGCAGATTTTGACCGCTACCCATGTTTGCCGCGGCTTCGTGGGTTCGCTGTTTGTGTCGTTGTATTCTCCTCATCAGCCCATGTCCACATCGCCGTCTGCCTCCCCCATGCCATCCACAAGATCGCTTTCGCCACTTTCGCCGCTTGTTTCCTCGCTATCGCTGTCTTCGTCCACAATCTTGCCTTCCACCTCACACTTTCGCGCAAAGCAGCTGCCACTCTTTTCGTCCTTGCCACCAACTCCTATCCCAATGTATAATCCTTTCTTCACCTCCTCGATGATCTTGTCAAGATCGACTGTACACTCGCCGTCGTTCTCGTAGATGATCTTCTTGGCTCGGCTGTTGGCTGCCGCTTTTGTGGAATGCACAGATGTGATGTGCGTGGTACCGACGTTGTTCTGAAAGCTATCGGCCGTGGGGTAGCAGGTATCGGTCACGATGTAGATTCTGTAGGGACCGGAGTGGGAGGAATTGACCATGTTGGCCATGGGTGGGTTGGGCTGTTCGATGCTTTGCTGGATGTAGGAATCGCCGTCGTGAACGTTGTTGTTGTTGTCGTTGTCGTACGACCGTTGAGTGGGTGTAGGTCCATCTTTGCTGCGCGCGCAGTTGGCACACATGTGGTTGCCATCGGCCATGTGGGCGCTGTGAGAGTCGGGCGCCATTGCAGACGACAAGACGCCTGGTAGCAGAATAGGAACGCGGCGCAACAATGATCGCAGTACAATTAAAAGACAAGGGAGTAAAATTCAAGCCGCGAAAAGAAAACAAAAAGAAGAGGAGGAGACTAACAGTCTCTCTCCAGAAAGAAACGCAGCCACAAAAGTCGAGGGATGGAAAAGAGGGTTTCACGATGTCG